TTTTGAAATAAAACCTCCCTCTTGCTCCGCTTCAGGCTTCCATACAAACTTTGCAGCTACTAGTCTCTTTACAAAGGAGATCAAGAAGTGGCCTACCAACCTTTCAGAGCCCACAAACCACAGTAGCGAAAGGAGAGAGGAGTTCACAACCATTGCTCTACCGAATATCGACAAGTGAAAGACCAAGCCCCATGATTTCACTCTACTGGCCATCTTGTTCTGCATAATTTCTTCCTGAACTTTCTGACACCCTTCCATGGCCACCATTATCCCCAAAACGTTTTCCGCTTCACCCTGTTTTACTCTCTTCATTCCCCATTCGGCTTGCAGGGTAAGGTTTCGAGGGAGGAAATACACTGACTTCTTCCAGTTAATTGCCGCTTCCGATAGCGTGGTGTATTCATCAAGAAGATTCTTGAGGGCTTGCAGCGATTCTCTTGAGTTCTCGCAAATTGAGAACAAATCATCCGCAAGAGCCTTAACCTTACATTTTCCATTTGACAGTGCTAGTCCTTTGATCTTTGGGCGATGTCTGAGATTACACATAATCACCTCCAATTGGAGGACAAACACCAAAGGGGCAAGGGGGCATCCCTGTCTTAAGGACCGAGTTAGCAGAAAGGGGTCAGAAAGAAACCCATTTACCATTACCACCGCCAAGGAGTGGGTGTACAACGCTACTACCCATTTACAGAAGATGTCCCCAAAACCCATTTTTCTCAACGTAGTTAAGACAAATGCCCAGTTTACCCTATCGTATGCCTTTTCTAGATCCACCAACAAAACCGCTTGTGGTCTCTGCTCTTTTTCGATGATTTCTAAGGCTTCGATGGCTGTGAGAATGTTATCGAAAATAGATCGCCCTTTAACAAACGCAACCTGGTCATGTCCCACCAAGGGCGAGAGATACCTGCCCAATCTACGAGCTAGAGCCTTGACCAATAACTTATACGAAACATTTAGTCTGGAAATCGGCCGCCAATTACGAATCTCATCTTTTTGTCATTTCTTTTATAGCAAAGTAATCACTCCATGTCTCATACTAGCTGACAGATCCGACCCTTCCTGAATGTCATTAAACATTTTCTCCAAAGAGTGAGCAATCTCAGGCCAAAAGGTTAAATAATACTCCACTGTGAGGTCGTCCGACCCTGGGGCTTTGCCCCTCGCCATGGATTTCAAGGCAGTATGTAGTTCAGTCTTCGTGATCGGACGGTCTAAATCTAGCCGCCCCACCTCAGACAATTTTGCCTCCACGACTTCCCAGAGGTCTGATAGGTGTTTCTGCCCTGACTGTAACTCATTTGGGTCCCTTCTAGATGTAAGAATATCTTGAAAAATACAACTCGGCATACTTACACATGTCTATAGATGAACTGGTCGTCGACGCTTCCTCATCAAAAAAATGTGAGAGGGTCTTCATCTCTTGCTGTCGGAAACGGGGGAAGAGACACTGGAAGGTTTGTTTATTCATTCTGTCTCCCGTTTCTATGCCTTTTATTCTTAAAATTTCCTGCCATCTATCCGATTTTCTCTCCTTAATTGCGTCATATTTTTTCATTCTAACCGCTCTTTCGACTGCCCAACAATGTGCTTCCACAAATGTGATGGGTAGTTCTGCAATTCTGACTTCCGCTCCCTCTACAACTTTCTTGGTTGGCCTCTGCTCCTTATTATCTCTTAAGGCAAAAATTCGTGAGAAGACACTGAGCATACTAAAAATAAAACAAGTTATAGCGTCCCACTTTTCCTCGGTGGTTTGAAACTTAGCCTTGCGGTTTGTCCAACTCTGCAGTTGTTTAACAACCTACTCCCGAACACCTGGGTCTCTGATCGTAAGTTCATTGAGCCTAAACAAACCTTTTCCTCGTTCCGGCCCATCTCCCCACAAAAAATTCAGGACCACTGGATTGTGATCCGATAATGAGTCGGGTTCCGTATGAACGAGCATCGTATTATCCCAGATAGACTTACTGGTGATAAAAAAATCCAGGCGGCGCAAGGCCACTTTCCGTCAAGAGATAAGATGAGACGAGTACCAAGTGAGGCCTGGATTGTTGGGGGAGAATAATTCGCATCCCTTAGGCTGCGGTATAGTGTGTTCCCGCGTCTATGTCAAGGTGTCGCATTTTTGGCGGCGGGCGACCAGGACGCAAAGTGGGTTCTTAGGGGGCAAAAAAAATTGGGGGATTGGTCCTTGGCAAAACTGCGGACTACCTACAGCTAGCTATGCTAGAACCGGGACTTTTGAAAAAAGGAAGGACCGGTCCTCGGGTGAAAGTGGACCCTAAAAAGAAGTGGGGGGCGTTGGACCGGACCCCGGGTAGAAGCGGACCCCCAAAAGAAGTGAGGCATGTGAACTGCAAAAAGGCCCTCAGGCCCAGGCATTGAGCTCCCGTCTTCTCAAAACAGGAAGGTCAGGCACAACAAAATAGGCGTTTTGCAAGAGGCAACTTAGGCGATTTTCTGTGCTCGAACGAACATGCACAAAAATCTGAAATTTTGAGAATCCATAGATGAGGTCGTGTTTTTTCCAGAAATAATAATAGAACATTTTAAAAAAACGAGTATCAACAAACGGAATAAAACTCTCTCTCTCTCTCTCTCTCTCTCTCTCTCTCTCTCT